GAAACAAGATTCTTCCCCAGCCCGGAAGCCAGGGAGTCTTCTCCAGAAAAGGAATAGTTGAACTGAGACCTCCAGAATGAATAGATATCAACTAAGCAAGGTGGGAAGGGAAGAGAAGTTCAGAGAGAGGACATTATACTCAAAGGCCTTGTGGCCAGAGGGAGGATGGAGTTTTGGAGGAATCTGAAGAGGACCAGAGTGGCTGGAGCAGAGACAACCAGGCAGAGAGTGCAAAGACACAGGACTGGGGTGTAGCCCGGGGGTAGAGCACTTGCTTAGTACGAACAGAGCTTTGGGTTTGATCCCCAGCACTAAAACAATAACAAAACAGATAGTGAAAGGGCCAGGGATTTAGCTCAGTGGCACCATGCCTGCCTCATAAGTGCAAGGTCCTGGGTTCAAACCCCAGTACAACAACAACAAAAAAACAAACCCAGATACTGAAGGAAGAGTCAATGCTGCAATGCCACAGCCAGGAATAGAGCTGATAACAACTACTTTTCCAGTCTGGAGGAGCAGGAGGTAGTGACAGGCAGAAAGAAGAGCAGTAGTTTCTGGAAGGAAGAAAACTTCTCTGCTGCTTTCTGAGCTCTGAAGGGGGCCACTGGATCCAGGCATGGTGGTACATGCCTGTAGTCCCAGCACTCGGGAGGCTGAGGCAGGAGGATCCCTGTGAGTTGTGGTTAGCCTGAACTACATAGAGAGACCCTGTCTCAAAAAGGGGTGGGGGCCCTACAGGTAGCTGTTCAGGCTCTGCTTTGAATAACTCTGAACACAAATGGTTTCCTTGGGCTTACGTAGTGTGACAGTCCTGGGGAGTTGCCAGTGGACAGTGTGCAAGTTAGGTGGGTCCCACACCATAGGTGACCAGCTGAGCTTGGCCAGACAAAATTCAACTGAGCTGGGCTGTAAGACAGAACGAGAGTGGCCTGAAAGAACAATCCTGATCCCTGAATCCCTACTTCCAGAGCAGGGATACTGACCTTGTAATCAGACATACCAAGGGGCTGAGGAGAAAGGACCCTCAGTGCTCTCCCCTTCAGGGTCACCTGACCCAGGGTGCCCCTCAGAACACTGACAGCAATCCAGCCTCAACAAATGTCAACACGGCAATGCTAGGCCTCTTTGTGTCTTGATTCCTGTCCTTCTCAGAATACTGCTTTGAAATGCACAAAATAAAATGGATAGAATCACAATGGAAACCAATTATTTTGACGTGGTTATCAAAATACAGAAAAATATATTGCAATTCAGATATGTATGTTTCCTTATTAGTGCTTCAGAAGGATCTAGCCCTGGGTGAGGGATGGAGCTCAGTGGTAGACCTTGCCTTGTATGTGCAAGACCTTGAGTTCTATCCCCAGCACTAAAAAAGAAAAACAAAAACAAAAACAAAAGATCGAACATTGGTATAATGACTGCCATAATGTTGAAATAGTAATAAGTGTGAACAGTGTATTGACATGTGTTCTGAGATAACAGCAACAACTGATCTGGGAAGATGTTCAAATCTGATAACCTCAATAAAATATTGACTTGGGTGCAGTGGCACACCCCTGTAACCCCTCCTACTCAGAAGGTTAAGGCAGGAGGCTCCCTTGAGCTCCAAAGTTCTAGGCCAGCATGGGCAACATGGCAAGACCTTTTCTCAAAAGGAGGGGAAAAAATCAAAATTACCAATAATACCATTAACAGTATAGTTGAGTCTCAGTTTATGAGATTGTGTCTCAATAAACCCATCATGCCAGGTGTGGTGGCACACGCCTGTAATCCCATCACTGTGGGTAAAGTAGAGGATCACCGTGAGTTTGAGGCCAGCCTGGGCTACATAGTGGGTTCAAGAGCGGCTTGAACTACATAGCATGACCCTGTCTCAAAAAAGAAATCATAAGTTGAAAATGTTATAGGTTGAAAATGCAGGTAATACAGCCAACCTACCAAATAGCTTAGCTTAGCCTCACCTACCTTAAACATACTCAGAACATTAGCTTATAGTTAGGCAAAATCATCAAACACCAAACCTATCTTAGAATAAAGTTTTGAGTATCCCATGTAATTTGTTGAATACTGCACTGAAAATGAAAATCAGAACAGCTGTATGGGTGCTCACCATTAAAGGATGGCTAATAAACATTAAAGTAGGGTTTCTGCAGAACTCAGATTGCTTTTAAGACATCACAAAGCCAAAAATATCCAACCATTTTTGAGTTGGGGACAGTCTGTGCTATGACTTTGTTGCTTGTGTTCATAACTTTAGTTAGATCTTAGTGAAAAGATGAAATGGTTTTCTACTGAATTTCATGGATTCTCAGAATTCTCTGTCCCAGTTAAAAACACCATGATCCAGGAAAAATAAGCCAACAAGTTAGGCTTCAGGTTGACAGACTGCTCAGGAGTTGAGCTGGGGGACACAGGGCCAAAGTGCCCAGGGTCAGGGAAGGCTTCCGGCTAGAACTTGAAACAGCTTTGGATTTTGATCCAGCGACAGATGTGGAGAGGACCCAACATAGTTGTAAAGGGCAGCGGGGGCTCACATTATACACTGGGGCTCACAGGCAGGTTTGGCTACCAACAATTCCCCTGAAGGTGTGGAAATGGGATCTCAAAAAGTGAACCACGTTAGCTGAGTGGAGTGGCGCAAGCCTGTAGTCCCAGCTACTCAAAAGACTGAGGTGGGAGGATCGCCTGAGCCCAGGAGTTCAAAGTGAGCCTGGGTGAACATAGCAGGACACTGTTAAAAAAAAAAACAAAAGCAAAGTTCCTTGACAGAGTCAGGCAACAGGAAGTGGCAGGTTCTCAGAAGGTCACTGTGTTTGGATTCAGAGCCCCAGCTCATCCTCAGACAGGTCCCCCCCAGTCACAGGGAGCCCGAGACTGAGGACACCTTTGAATTCAGGGTAAAAGCTGGGGCCCAAGAACCAAAGCCTGACTTTTCCACTTACTATCTGTGTGACTTTGAGACGCTTATTTGCACCTTTTTTTCTCCTGTGTGAAATGGGAACAATAGTCAGTACCTCTCAGAGCAACTAAATGTGCGTGTGAAAAACACTTGAGGCACAAAGATCACAAAGTAGCCTCCTTCTGCAGAGCTTTCTTCTTGGTTTTTTGTTTTGCTTCGTTTTTCTCTTTTTTTTTTTTTTTTGGTACTCCGGTCCTTGCGCAGTAGGCGGGCGAAACCACTGAGCTAAATCCCCAGCCCTGTTTTGTTTTTCTGTTTGTTTGGCTTTTTTCAGGCAGTCTCACTATGTAGTCCAGGCTGACCTTGAACTTATGGTGATCCCCTTGCCTCAGCCTCCCAAGTGTTCCACCAAGCCCTGCCAGAGCTTTCTTGAATCAGCACAGTGACTGCTCCCCCAGGCCCCCTTCTGTGTCTGACCAGAGAGTTCTGGGTGAGGGAATAGGGGACTCCAGGGTCCAGGGGAGTGGCCTGCCCTTAGCTCGAGGGAGGTTAAATAACTGGCCATCCATTTGCTGCAGGTAAGGAAGTGGGTGAAGAAACACCAGCATCAGCAGAATCCTACTGGGGAGCAGAGGGGTGGATCTCTGATCTAGGGTCAAGGAGGCCCCACACCTGGAGCTGTCAAGTTCGAGTAGGGAGTGGGTAGTAGAAAGAGAGCTTGCCGTCACCCAGTCTTGGTCCCACAGCAGGCTCTGTGCAGGGTTCCTACCGCACAGCTCCGGGGGCACCTTGCCATCCACAGCAAGGGGAGTGCTCTTGGGAAGCTCCCAGAGTTGTGCAACCCAGATGCCCTACCTGAGTTTCCATCCCAGCTCTGCCACTCCCTAGTTTTGTGACCTTGAGCAAGCCACTTACTGTCTGAGCTCATCCATAAAGTGAGACCACCACACCCACCTTAATGGCTCTTACGTGTTCAACACCAAGCTCCTAAGAGCTGCTCATTAAATAGCAGCTTCCTCTTTTCCAAGGCCACCACCTGTGCCCACCACAGGACCCTTTCCAAGCTTCAGGGCACTGAGACTGTGAGGTGCTCAGAAGTGAGGCCAGTTTGTACTGGGTAGAGAGGAGAGGGCAGGACAACTGAGACAGGTAGGAGAGGAAGGGATCACAGCCTGGTCCAACTAATTCCTGATGTTGCCCTTTCTTTGGGTAAACAGAGTGGGCAGGTGCCCCCTCTCCCAGAGGCCTCCTCTGGCTAATGATTCCTCAGTCCTCAGAGAGGCAGCCGAGGAGAGTAGGCCCCTGACATCTGGCGCCCGACTGTCTGGCGTCCATTCCACCTCATCTAGGCCCGAGGTCAGGCATCTCTGGACTCTGGGACCTTGTGAGGGAAAGGGTGGTTTCTGGTACCCATGGTGATGCCTCAGGGTTGCCACGCTCTTCATTGCATAACGCAGGGATGAAGGAACCTCTCACATAGCCTGTAAATGTGAATGGAGCCTCTGGAGCTGTGTGATGCAGCAGCCAGGCCATGATTACTAGGAAGGAGAGACCCTCCAGCATTCCCAAGACTTAGAGGTGATGCATTCATTTAGACAAGATTTGCTCTGCAGCTTCCTGGGTCCAGGGCTCCAAGGATCCAGATGCCACAAAACTGACTGTCCTCATCGAATTTACCTCCTAGCACAGAAAACAAACACTAAATAGTCATACAAATAAACACGTTCTTACAGGTAGTGAGAAGAGCTAGGGAAGGTGAGGGTTTGGCAGGGTCTGCTCTTTGCCCTGGGCATCCTCATCTCATCTCAGGGTCCTCACCTGGGCCCCCTGCAGTTCCCATGGGCTGGACGAGGCCTCAGAGCCAACTCCAGATACCAGTGTGGCTGGGTTATAATGTCTGGGCCCCCAAGTTTAAAACAAAGATAAGGTGGTCCACCACCACCCCCATTTAAAAATGTGGCCTCAGGCTTGGGAATCCATGGGTTTCACAGGCTTTCCCCATTCTGTGGGAAGAAATGGCCTGGTTTCTCTCCAGGTTGGAAGGGGACAAGACTCTGGGCCTGCCCCTCTAATAGCTCTTCTGCTCCCTTCCCACCCACAGGAAGCCTACTGTGCCTATGCCATCATCCTCATGGCACTCTTCTGGTGCACTGAGGCTCTGCCCCTGGCTGTCACTGCCTTCTTCCCTCTCTTCCTGTTCCCTCTGATGGGCATCATGGAAGCCTCTGAGGTGAGCTCCTCACATCCATGGGAGAAAGGGCTCCCAGGGAAGGGGGGTCTTCCCTAGAGCTCTGGTGACCTAAGACACTTCATCACAGGCAAGTTTCATCAAAAAGGGGTCCTTGCCTCCTCTTGACAGCTCAGAGAACACTGAGGGAGGAATCAGCTAGAAGACCAGGGATAGAGCATTCTGGGAATGCATGTCACTGGTGTGGAGAGTCCAGGGAGGTGAAGGGTCTGGTGCAGGAGAAGGGCCTCCACAGTCAGCTGAATCTAGGCATGGTGGTGCACACCTATAATCCCAACACTCCGGGGGGACTGAGGCAGGAGGATTTCAAGTTCAAGCCCAGCTTTGAGAATTTAGCAATTTAGCAAGATCCTGACCCAAAATTTAAAAAATATAAATGGCTGGGGATGTAACTCAGTGCAAAGGTCTTGGTTTCAGTCCTCTGTACCACATGCATAAAAGAAGAAAGAAAGAGAGGGAGAGAGAAAAAGAAAGGAAGGAGAGAAGGAAGGAAGGAAGAAAGAAAGAAAGAAAGAAAGAAAGAAAGGAAGGAAGGAAGGAAGGAAGGAAAAGTCCAGCTGAAGCATTTTTAATGTCTTTCCTGGCTATCACAACGATTGGTTCTGGATCCCTACTGATTCCAAAATCCCAGGATGCTCAAGTCCCTTGCATAAAATGTCATAGTATTTGTGTATAGCCTATGCATTTCTTCATTATACTTTAAATCACCTCTAGATTACCGGTAATGCCTAATACCATGTAAATAGTTGCTATTCTGTATTGTTTAGGGAATAATGATGAAGGGGAAAGTGTGCATGTTCAGTATAAACATGGTTTTTTGTTTGTTTGTTTTTTGGTACCGGGGATCGAACTCAGGACCTTCCACTTGTGAGGCAGGTGGCAGCACCACTGAGCTAAATCCCCGGCCCAAACATGATTTATTTTTGAATATTTTTCATCCAAGTTTGGTTGTATCCACAGGCTGTATGCTGTACTTCTAGTTCAGTGGCTCCTGAGCTCAAATGAATATAATCACCTGGGAGGCAGAGTAAAACACAGAAGGCTGAGCCCCACCACTGAGCTTCTGACTCAGTAGATCTAGGATAGGGTTTAAGCATTTCATTTCTGACAAGTTCCAGGTGACGGTAATGACACTGGCCCAAGGATCACACTTACATACTGCTCTTTTTTGTTTGTTGAGACAGGATTTCACTATGTAGTTCAGGCTGTCCTTAAACTCACTATGCAGCCCAGACTGGCCTCAAACTCATAGTGATCCTCCTGCCTCAGCCTCCCAAGTGCTGGGATTACAAGTGTGCACAACCACACCCAGCTCTACTTTCTAAAAAGAACATGAAATGCTCTATCTCCCAGTCCATGACTTGAAACATGAATGAAACAGGCTAGATTGTTTCCCAATTATCCTGAGGGAAGAAAGAATTAATTTGGCAAGAAAAGGGGAACCTGGTTAATATCAAATGGCTGATAATCCAAAGGCCATTTCCATTTGAGAGCCCAGGGGAATGCTACTATGGGGAGATGTCAGGGATTGCACCTCATAGGCCCAGGGGCACTGTGGGAGACCCCAAGATCGTCCTGCATCTCAGTCATGTCCCTGCCTGCCAGGTCAGCACTGAGTACCTCAAGGACACCAATATCCTGTTCATCGGGGGGTTGATAGTGGCCATTGCTGTGGAGCACTGGAACCTGCACAAACGCATCGCTCTCCGAGCGCTCCTCATCATTGGGGTGCGGCCTGCCCTGTGAGTTCCCACAAACCAGGATGGGAGGAGCGGGGTCCAGGGACACTCAGGACAACATCCAGCCTCTGAAGGGAAGCTGGAATGACAGTGTGTGCATCTGTCTGTCTTAGGCTGATCCTGGGCTTCATGATGGTCACAGCCTTCCTGTCCATGTGGATCAGCAACACAGCCACCACAGCCATGATGGTCCCCATTGCACACGCAGTCCTGGAGGAGCTGCAAAATACACGAATGGACAGCCAGGGAGGCAGTGACAACCCCACTTTCGAGCTCCAGGATCCCAGTCCCCAGAAGGAGGTGACCAAGCTTGGTAAGACAGAAGAGGTAGACCCTGCCCGAGCCCTCAGTTCTTGCGGAAGGTCTGAGGGACCCGTCCATTTGCAAGGGTAATGATCTTGGAGACTTGGGGAGAGAAGACTGAGGCAAGCGCCTCAGTGACCAATTTGTCCTTGATTGCCTGGAACTTTTCTGGTTTTAAAATGCCAAGACCCAAGCACAAGGACCCGAGTTCGATCCCCAGTACCAAAAAAACCAAAAAACAAAAAATGCCAAGACCCATGGGCTGATGGTGTAGCTCAGTGGTAGAACAATTGCCAAGCATGTGCAAGACCCTAGGTTTGATTCACAGAAATACAGATAAATGAATCTATCTATCTATCTATCTATCTATCTATCTTTTTAAAGTCTGGGTGGGCAGCAAGGGGTCTAGTCTCCATTTTTCCTTCCTGGTTTAGATAATCCTCTTCCCTTCTCTGGGTCTTGGTTTCCCATCTTTCAAAAGAGGTTGGGCCTGATGGCATCTGAATGTACTCCCAAGCCGAGGCTCCAGGGAATGCTGGACCCGCTCAGACCAGGGGGCAGCCTCTGTGCTCTTCCCAGCCCAGGTCTCAGCTGTTCACCAACAAAGTGCCCTGGAGGCCATGGAGCCCCAGCCAAGTTCCCCAGAGCTGTCCTTGCACCTGCCCCCACCTGAGCTCTCCCTTGTTCCTAGAAAATGGACAGATCACACCTGCTCATTCAGAGCCAAGAGCCATGAAGAGCAAGGAGGAGGTCCGCTTCTCCAAGGGTATGAGCCTGTGTGTGGCCTACTCAGCCAGCATCGGGGGCATCGCCACGCTGACCGGCACCACGCCCAACCTGGTGATGCAAGGCCAGATGCAGTCGTGAGTGCCAGAGGGCAGGGCCCAGCAGGGGTGGGGTGCGCTCTCACTGGGAGGCAAATGGAGTTGGGTGGTTGCCAGGCCAAAGTCACACAGCAGCCTGTGTTCCCTCCAGGATCTTCCCCGAAAACCCCAACATCATAAACTTTGCCTCCTGGTTTGGCTTTGCCTTCCCCACCATGGTCATCTTGCTGCTGCTGGCTTGGCTATGGCTGCAGTTCCTCTTCTTGGGTTTCAAGTAAGTAGTGGGGTGGATACGAGAAGCCTAGGTCCTTGCCTGTACCCCTGGGAGCTTCCTGTTGGGTTCGGATGTGGAAAGTGACCATGCCTATGAGAAGGCCCCTACTTCCCAAGGCCCCTCTGTGCACTCATTTGAAGGAATTATTGGGAGGAGAATATTACCCCATTTAGCACATGAGCACACTGGGTCTTAAGGAGGGATCACAACTAGATTTGTCAATGCTGAGATTGAAAACCAAGTCTTCTGGTGCCCAGGCCAAACCCTGTCCCCTCATGCTCCACAGTTCCTGAATAAATGCTTGAGGAACACACTGAATGTGGTCAGTTATTGACACATTTGTTCTGTTCCTACTGCATGGCTGGCCTACTGTGTCCTGGGCAGTGAGAATGCTGGGCAGTAAGAATACCAAAAGACATTGAGCAAAGTCTCTGCAGCTCCCCATCTGATGGATGATATGGAGGTGGGCTATGACAGAGGGGAGCACTCAGGGTAGTGGGGATTCCAGAAAGAGGTAATGTCTGAGCTGACTCTTGCAGGACCACAAGTCAGCCAGGTAGAGAATGGGGTAAAGGCATTCCAGGCAGCAGAAACAGGTGGTGCAAAGCAGAGGTGCTGGGCATAGTGGCACATCCTACTGGAAAGGCTGAGACAGGAGGATCACAAGTTCAAGGCCAGACTTGGCAACTTAGTGAAACCCTTGTCTCAAAACAAAAACAAGAACAAAAATTGAAAAGAAAGAAAGGAAAAAGGGAATGAAGCACAGCCACAAGAAAGAACCTGAAGTGTTTTGGAGACTCTCTGGTTCTGTGGGGATGAAAGAGAAACATCATAAAAGAGTGTCAGGGCACAAAGCTCAAGAGGCAGCAAGGGAGAGCTGAGAATGGTGGTGAATGCTTGTGATCCCAGCATTATGGAAAGCAGAGGCAGGAGGATTGCCTGGGCTACACAGTGAGTTCAAGCCCCGCTTGAACTACATAGCAAAACCCTGCCTCAATAAATAAATAAATAAATAAACAAACAAATAGTGTTAGGGCCTTATCCTTGAAGCCAAGGGTAGCAAGTAGATTTCATTTCTACTTGCAACCCTGGGTTATTCATAGTCACTGTTTGGAGCTCTCAGTTGGAAAACATTGGAGACCCTGCTAAGGCTGTCTGAATCAAGTCTGTGATTGATTAGTGATGTCTAATATGTACACAGGACAGCAGTGGTGGTATGAATGGTGCTATACTATAGTCATTATTTGTCCTGCCTTCCCAGGCAGAGGGAAGCCATTGGAAGATTTTAAGTATTATTAATGTACTTTGGGCAAACCATGAGCACAGATGCAAGGAGGTTGGATTAGTCTGGGAGCTGGTACAAGAGATCAGCACATTTCGGGGAACCATGGACAAGTGAAAATGGTATGAAGCACTGTCTTTGGCCTGGAAGAACTCACAGTCCAGCAGCTAAGTGAGATTTACCCGAGTGAAAAATTAAATGTTAATGCAAGTTAAGTAAGCAGCACAAGTTAAGTAAGCACCATAGCCTCCTGCACCACTGAGGACAATATGAGTGGAGGTAAGGCCGGTAGAGAATCCCAGAGTCAGAGAGAAGGGATGGGGATTTCCTGAAAAGCAGCTGAAGGAGAAGAGCTGTGAGGAGGGCCAGGAGGAAGCACAAGGGTCTGGCCATGAAGCTCTCCCCACCCCGGGCTGGGAGGATGCAGCCCAAGAGACCCCTTGGAGGAAGAATGTCAATAGGGCACATGGCGAAGGCCCAAGCTTGGGGCAACACAGCTTCTCTTGCTAAACAAGGGCCACAATCCCCTCCGAGTCCTCTGCTCTTCCCTAGAATCTTGAACAGAACCTGACCTCAGAGACATGACCCCAAAGTGACCGGTGCAGGCCTTGGTCTCACATGATGGGCTCTCAGAGCACCTTGGCCCCTGCCTGGGGCGGGTCTCTCCTGAGCCACCCCTGCTGTCTGCCTGCAGCTTCAAGAAGAACTTTGGCATTGGAGATCAGGGGAAGGAGAAAAAGCAGGCAGCCCTCCAAGTCATCAAGATACAGCACAAGCTGCTGGGCCCCATGAACTTTGCTGAAAAGGCTGTCACAGTCCTCTTCGTCATCCTGGTGGTGCTCTGGTTCACCAGGGAGCCAGGCTTCTTCCCTGGCTGGGGCAATCTGGCTTTTGCCAACAGCAAAGGGGAAAGGTGAGAGTTTCTGAGGGAAAGGAGGGGAACACACTTGTGGCTCAATCCTTGGGGAGGCAGCAAGGGAACTGCAGAACAGGGGGTGAATCTGGGGCAAGGGAATCTCACCAGGCTTGTCTATAAGAGGGGTTCCTCTCCACCACCCATCCACTCTGAGTATCCCCAAGCCACTAAGCCTACCCTCCCTATCCCACCCACAGCATGCCATCCGATGGAACCGTGGCAATGTTCATCAGTGTAATTCTATTCATAGTGCCCTCCAAGATCCCAGGCCTGACCCAGGACCCCGGTAAGCACCTGGCTGGGGCTGGGAAGGTTTTCCAGGTAGCCTTTGCCTTCAGGCCTGTAATGTACATTTGACCACACTTGGTAGGAGCCCAAAGAGGTTAGGGTGACTTGCCAAGGGCACAAGGACTCAGGGACAAAGTTAGAATGTTACAGAGCTACATTCATGAAGCTCTGATAGGAACCCACTCGGGGGTTTCCAGCTGAGGGGAGGGAGAAGGCCTGTGGCTCTTAGTGACCTGTTCTTCTCTACTTGGGGAGTAGAAAACCCAGGGAAGCTGCAGGCCCCTCCTGCCCTCCTCACCTGGAAGACAGTGAACGAGAAGATGCCCTGGAACATCATGCTGTTGCTAGGTGCTGGCTTTGCTCTGGCCAAAGGTAGTGAGGTGAGAGACTCCCAGCCCCTCCCAGGCCTGTTGGAGGGGGGCTCTGTGGCAGGAGAGAGGGCCCCTGTTTCTGTCCCATAGAAGGGAAACATGATCCCCACTTAGGAGGCCCCACAGTGAGCAGAACCTTGCAGAAGCTGGAGGGAAGTAGGTGACAGCCCCAGCCAAGAAGGAGAAAGAAGCATGAGTCCTCAAGACCTGTGCTCAGTGGGGTTCTAAGAGCTAAAGGGAAGACAGGTTTCTCTGGCGATCCCTCTACAGCCCCTCTCCCAGGCCAGACAGAATGCATTAGCTGCAGTACCTAGGTAGCTGGCTTTGGGTTGACACAGTCCTCCCACTGCAGCCACCAGGGGGCACCATGATCGCATCCCACCAGGATCTGGGGAGCGGGCCATCTTTCTCTAGAGAAAAACAAATTCTTGAAACTGCAGCCCTGGGCCTCCCTGTTCCAGCTGAGCGCATTTATTGCACAGACAGTAGGCATCTGCCCCAGGTTCAGGGTCTGTGCTTGGTCACCCACTGACTGCCAGGCACTATGCTTGGGCCCAGCAGCAAGGAATGAGGTGGAATGAGAACTTGGCGCTCTCCCCACACTGCCAATTGCTCACCAGACCATTGGCCTCTTCCATTTTAAGGGTCCTCCCTCCACCCTGCCTCCCTGTCAGGAGCAGTCCCCTCAGCCCCAACCCATGGGGCTGGGAGAGGACAAGGAGAGGACTATGGTTGTCCAGAGACCTCCTGACGGGGATCAGGAAGACGGAGTAAATGGGGCCAAAGGTTTTTACTCCCACAAAACTCCAGACCCCCAAGGTTTTGGGGCCCCTCTCCTAGCTTCTCACCTGACCCTTCACCCCTCCCCAGCTTCCCCAAGAGCAGCAGAAGGGCCCTTGATACTAGTTGGATCCTGTCTTCCCTTCAGACCTGTCTCGACTCTGAAGACTACACAGGTGTAGGCAGCAGAAGGGCTTGGGGTCCAGGTAGCCCTGCCTCACACACACCACCCTCCTCTCCCCACAGAAATCTGGCCTGTCAGAGTGGGTGGGGGACAAACTGTCACCACTGCAGCACATGCCACCTCCTGCCACTGCACTCATCATCTGTCTCCTGATTGCTACCTTCACCGAGTGCATTAGCAACGTGGCCACCACCACACTCTTCCTGCCCATCCTGGCCTCCATGGTGAGCTGGCCCTGCAGACACACCTCCCCCAGGCAATCTTCCTGCCTTGCCCCTCCACAGGTCCCCAGGGACCTGTCACTGCACCTCCTCCCCTCTCCTGGAGGGGACCCTGAACTTCCAGCCTTCTAGCCCCTGAATGACCCCATCTCTGGTGACCTCGCCCTCTGAGTATATCGATGGGGCTCAATGGTGGCCCCACCCACCTCCCCACCCCAGTCCCTGTTCTGGTCATTCCACAGGTGATGAGGTAAAATTGCTCCCTGGAGCGTCCCCAGCCCCTTCCTCCCCAGGCGCCTTCGGCAGCCTTTGATGACACCTCCAGAGCCCCTTTGAGATCTGTTTTATGGGCCCCTCCCTTCACTACGCCCCACAGGGCAGGGCTGCACACTCATCCCCTCCAGAGAGGTCAAGGGGCCCTTCCCAGGTCACCCAGTGCTTTCTGGCAGAAATGGTGGGTTCATGACCATAACGTGTGTTGAGGGTGGAGTTGTCACCCAGAAGAGGGAAAATTGGGGGCCAGGATGGAGACCAAGAGCAGCTCTGCCCCACTGTTCCCCTTCCAGGCTCAGGCCATCTGCCTCCACCCACTCTACATCATGCTCCCCTGCACCCTGGCTTCCTCCCTGGCCTTCATGCTGCCTGTGGCCACCCCACCTAATGCCATCGTCTTCTCCTTTGGAGGTCTCAAAGTGACTGATATGGTGAGTGGCAGGGAATGAAAATGCCTCTCTTCTCCTTCCTGACTGCCTTACATCTCTGTGGACCACAAAGTAGCTGAAACCCTCTGAAATACCTAGAGCTCAGAGAAGGACCCTGTCTGGCTGCGGGTACAGAAGGGGAGACTAGGATATGATCCCTCAGACAAGCCCTGAAGCTCTGGCCACAAGAGGGGGTTTGGACATGAGGAGGTTCCAGGGGGTCAGCCACACTCAGAAAGATGAACTCAGAGAAAACAACCCCAGGGCCCCAGAAGCTCATGAGGGCCCCCTTTTCCCTGTTAGGACTGGCAGTAAAGTACGGGGCCAGGGCATTGCCTAGCACTGCCCATTAGACCACAGGCAGGACTTCCCAGGAAGAGGTTTGCTCTTGGGAGGGCTCCTGAGCACTCTTAAGTTCTGCAGGCTGGGCACTGTTACCATTCAGCACCCACTCAGTCAAACTGGCTCTCCTTACCTCAGGCTCGTGCTGGATTCCTGCTCAACATCATCGGGGTGCTGGTCATCATGCTGGCCATCAACACCTGGAGCTTCCACATCTTCAACATGCACACCTTTCCCTCCTGGGCCCAGTCAAATGCCACCCAGTGTTTTCCCAGCCAGCCCGACCACACCACAGCCAGCCCCTAGACAGGGGTGCAACCTGCCCAAGCCCACCTCCATGCCCCTCCTCTGAACCAAGAGGAGACATCCCAAGCTCCAAGCCCAGGGCCCAGGGAGAAATGTCCCTGTGTGTATAATCTCTGTGTCCATGAGAGGGTGTGTGCATCCTCTCCAGTGTGTCAGAGGAAAATGTCTGCATTTGTACGTACACACACGTGTGCTCGAGAGGGCATCCTACGCATGCAGGCTTGACAGTGCACCTGTGTGCATCTGCAGAAAACATACACATCCTTCCTTGTCTTCCTAGCTTGGGAACCAGACCCCTTTGCACATATTTATTGAAACTTGAGATTAGAGTGGCCTGGGAGCAGGGCCTGCCATAGGTATGGCCTTTGGGACTCCAGCCCAGCCTCTCAAAGTTTGGGAAGGGTTCAGATTTTAGCCCCATTAAAGCCTTTTTCAGTTGAGTCTGAGATGGTCTTTCATGGCGACACCATGTGGTTCCGGCTCAGCTTAGAGGGTACAGGAAAGGGGCCTGGCCTCTGTCCTACATGGCAGCTCCCTTGGCACCCCTCCCACCCCCAGGAGAAAGTAATGGTAGGGCACCCCTGCCAGGGCCGATCGGAGTGGGCGCAGCCACCCAAGAAAGCAGCACTGAGATCACCAGCCAGCTAATTGGGAGTTGCCAGTCTCTGCGTGTCTTTGGGAAAACCGGCCTTCCCGTTCCCAGAGCACTCCCTGGACATTTACATAAAACCCTCTCTCCCTGCCAATTCCTCACCGACCCTTCCTCCAGCTGGAAAAACCAGTCCCACCAGACCAGAGGAGGCAGGCTGACCCATGCCAGCTGCCCAGAAAGATGGACCCTTACCCCAAATGGCAGCCTATAGCAAGAAGGATGCAGGCCGGACTCATAGGAAAAGGCTCAAAACCATCATGGACTTCAGAGTCGGAATGAGACAACTTTGGATGAATCTGCCTCCTTACCTCTGCCCCTCTTCTGCCATTCCACCCCATACCCTCCCTCCTAGACTCCAGAGTTTTCAATTGGGGGTGATACTACCCATCATCCATTCTGGGAGCTCAGCATCCCTTCCTGGCTGGAAGTTCATCTTTGTGTCTATCCTAAATCTGTCACTAAGGACAAAAAAAAAAAAAAAAATTCAATTCAGGTTTCCCCCTGGGCTGGGCTTTCATTTAGTTTTCCCAGACCTGGGGGTTCATGGGGAGTGCAGCTGGAAGGGGGCTACTGCACAGGGCAGAACACTGCTGTCCCCAGGGGACAGGGGATCCTGACAGGGCATGCCAGACATCCAGGAGAGTGAGGAGTGTCAGGCAAGTGGTTCCACCCCCACCCTGGCCTCCGGGCTGGCATTCCTCACGCATGAAGCACACTATAAATCAGGCTCCCACCCAGACCCACACTAGGACCCTCAAGGCCCCAGGCAACAGTCCTCCCACTGGGCGTAGGTCAGCCCAAAATGTCAGGGCTCCCCCAGTGTCTTACCCACAATGCAGTGGGCCCCTAAGCAGCAGAGCCCCCACCCTCTACAAGGTGCTCTGATCCTCTGCTACCGCTTTCTCCTGGACCCAGCATGGGTACCCACAGTCCAGCTTTGGCTTGGGGTGCACATGCTCTATCCATTGTTCTCAGCTCCTCAGAAATCCAGGGTATGAAGCTTCCCCCAATCTCTTGGAGTGAGGTATACAAAAGCCACCCTGAGGGTCTAGCTGTCAGCTAGGTGGCAGGTGCCCTCACAGGATCCAGCAACCAAGCTTCCCCTAAATGCTCAGAAACCACCTTCCTCAGCAAGCAGGAGTGTGGCCGGGTGGCAGACGGCACCTGTCAGCCTAATCACCGTCATTAGCTGGGCAATAAAGTGGCACAGACTGGGCCAGCCTTTGAAGCCCAGGTCAGGCATGTACAGGCAGTCTAGCAGCTCAGGCCCTTGTGTGCACACATGCCAGCTACAGCAGGTGGATGAGGATCTTGCTGGGATTGGGGTCTTCAACTTTTCTGTTGGGTACTCACTCCCTATCATTGATGACTTCCTGGAGGTAGTAAGGGGCTTTGGGTGTCTCCTACCTGCCGAACTTGTCAGTGCTGGAACTCAAGAACTTCTGAGGTAGTAAGTTCCCAGGGCCTTGGGGACAGGGGCAGGAGAAAATCAGTGAGGCTGGAAACAACTTGAGGACAATGACTGATAGAGCTGTGTCCCCAGCTCCTAAACGGGGCCTGCTGCAGGGAATGTTGTATGAATGAATGAATGCATTGGATGTATAGAGAAGCACTGTGCTCCTGGAGGGAAGCTGGGCAGGCTGCCCTCAAAGACTCTTTCCAGATTGCTGTGTAGAGGGCTACATGCCTTGAAATAGCACCTTGGCTTCTATGGGCCATGGTCCCTTTGGGGTCAGCAGGCAGGTCCAGTTTTCTGAGTCAGTTCTTACTGTTTTTCCCTGCCCCTGTCCTCTATGGCCCTGGGGGTTTCCCTGTTTCCAACCTCCTCCTGCTGGGCCAGGAAGCAGCTATGGCAACCTGAGGGTGCAAGGAAGTAGCTATCAAGCCCTAGTAGGAGAAACCTGCAGAATGGAAGAAGAAAGCTTTTAGGGAGGTGGGAGAAGGACTATCCATCCCACTCTCTGGTTCACCTTGACCTGTACCCCCAGTCAAAGGGTAGCTCTAGGGGTTAGGGTCCTTGGGTCCAGAACCGTAAGTTCTGTCTCCCAAAGATCTCAGAGGGGAGGCTGCTTCCTGAAGAAGGGAAGGTAGTACAGCCAAAGGGGACACAAGGGATAGGGTGGAGTAGGGCTGGGACAGGTGGAGCTCTAGTGAGGTACCAGCTTAGAGGAGGTGCCTCTGTGGCCTCCACCATAGCCTGGCTCCCATTAGTCATGGTCATCAGAACCATAAAGGTTTTTAGTTGTTCTTTTTTTTGGTGGTGGTGGTTCTGGAGATCAAACCCAAGAGTGGTCTACCATTGAGCTACAGCCCAAGCCCATTTTGTTATTTTGTGCTAGTGTCTCACTGAGTGGCCCAGGCTGGCTTTGAACTTGCAATCCTTCTGCCTCAGTGTCCTGAGTAGTCAGGATTACAGGTGTGTGCCACCACACCTGTAGAACCAAGGGGCAGGGAGGCTGAAGGCCTCAGAAGGGTGAACCCCCAACCTCAGGGCCTGGAGGTCTGTGATGCAGAGGTCAAGGGGGAAAAGAGATGGAGAAGGCTGACTGTAAAGATCATGACAAGGACACAGGAGAGTTGATATTAAGGTTGGGAGACCCCTAGACAAGTATACACAGAATCATGGATTCCTAGGTACACAAAGAACACATGTACAGGCACGCACATCTGTGCACACACAGTCACACACATAATTCTCCTATGCACCCAGTTACTGGCTTTCAGCCTTTCAGACGCTCAGAGTCACTCACAGAAACCCACACAGACAGACACAGTCATAGACTTTTGTACATCTGCAGTCACTCCGGTACTTCTGCACACAGAGCCAGACCTGAGTGTTCTCACAAGTACACAGATGCTCATGCACACTTACACAAATTCTGGCATGGACACATCTAGCAGCACATTATCACTCCACAGCTTAATGCACACCATGGTGGCATGTGAGCGTGAGATCACAAATGTCAATACCTATACACTCACACAGAGGTACACTGACAGACATTGACTTTAGTGAAAACACACACACACACACACACACCCCTGCATTGCTTCTCCACAACCTGCAACCTGCCTCCTACAGCAGGAGGGATTAAAACCAGAGAAGAGAAGCCCTCCCCACCCAGCAGGACTCTGAGTTCCTCCCCGCCACCAAGCTTGGAAACTCCCTGAACTTCCCAGGGGGTCACTCAACCAGAACAGGCACAGACCTCCTGTCTCAGCTCCCACCACACACCCTCTGACCTGGAGCTTCTCCATCGTCCACAGCCAAGGAGCTGCCTGCTGACCCCAGGAAGCCCACCCTGATTGACCCCAGATCCCTCCAACCTTCCTTTGATGCGAGGTCCTTGTGCCAACTACACTTGGGTCTTATTCCTCTAGAGATGTTCTTTTTTTGGGGGGTAAGGGGGGTTTTGCTGAGGATTGAACCCAGACCTGGAACATGCTAAACACATGGTTTGCCACTGAGCTCTACCCCTAGCCTCTCTCTGGAGATGTTTTGAGGGGTTTTGGTATTTTTTATTTTGAAACAGAGTCTCACTATATATTCTAGGCTGGACTTGAACTAGCTACATAGCCCAAGCTGACTTCAACTTGCAATCGTCCTGCGTACTGAGATTTCTTGTGTGTACCACCAAACCTGGCTTCTGTAGATGTTCTTAAGTGTCCCCCATGGCAATGGAGTGAGATTTTGAGGACCTAGGAAGAGGCAGGCTCAATCCTGGGAACTCATTTTGAGAAGATAAGTCCAGCTTTCATGAGCACAGGTGGACAGAGGTGGCCCATCCTGAGGTGAGATGCATAGAAAGGCACCCTTGCGGCATCTCACTGGGGCTCCCGAGGGTGGGAGCATGCTCCTTCTCTGGGATCCCCAGGGTCTTGCTCCTCCCCTGGCCCCAGTCTGATTAAATACCCAGCTACAGCCCGTTCAGCTCCACCTGCAGCCCTGAAAAGGGGGAACAAACCTGCACATAGAAGTCCTTCCAAAGGAAGCAGAGCCAACACTGTAGAACCTAGAATTGAGACCAGATGCTAGAATAGACTTTCCTGGGCCTAGGAGGGAACTCTGAAGGACTGATGTGAAAGGGAAGGAGAGGATGGTCCTATCCAGAGACACGGAAGGAGGACAAAGACCTCACAAATCCTCTTTTAGTTCAAACTCTATGGAATTCCCAAGGCTCAGGCTTCAACTCCCAGACTGCCAGCAATGAGGAAGTTGTGCTTCCCAAAGGAAAGAGGGAGCCAGAGCCCACACCCATTCCTGGGGCAGAGGTAGAGCCTGTTTCAGAAGAGAAAGAATTTCATCTCTCTCATCGGAAGCAGAGCCTCACTATGGAAAAACAACCATGGTTTTCTGTGCATCCCACCACGGCCTTGCTAGGCCCCTGTTCTCCTGAATTTGTATTTTCCTGATTTTTAATGAAGTTTAAGATCTTTGCATTTGATTTTTGGCCAATTTTAGTTTGCCTGTGAATTGCTTATGTATATCCTTTGCCCCTTTTTCTATGAAGTCATCTTTTCATTTGTTTCAAGAGTTCTTTATATAGTATGAATTTTTTTTTTTTTGATACTAGGGATCAAACTCAGGACCTTCCACTTTCAAAGCAGGCAGTGGCACCACTGAGCTAAATCCCTGGCCCCAGGATTTTTTTTTTTTATGTGTAACATGAAGTAAGATTTAACTTTATTTCTTTTATTTCTTTCAAATGGAAAGTCCATTTGAATTCCATTCAATAAATTTTCACAACTCCATCTATTGAATTTTTCACTTTTTCTTTGCTTCTTTCA